CAGATTTTAACCGGACCAAAACACTCACCAGTCATGTGCCCCGTCTGATCTTGACAACACTCTAATGGTAGTATGATAGCGCATGATGAATGGCCTCTCTTTTATGACCTTTCAGAAAATTGAAGTATGAATTTAGAAAGAAGAAAAAACTTATTTCTTTCTAGTTGGAGTTTATAACAAGCATCAACTTTCAACCGTTAAAGTAAGACACCTCTAAAAAGCATCAACTTTCAACCGTCAAAGTAAGAGACACCTCTAAATTATATCAAAATAGTTTATGTACGCAAATCCCTTAAGATAACTTCAAATTTTACTTCCTTATCTAATTATGGAACTTAAAACTCTAAAAATAGTGCAAATTGAGTCCATCTACCAACATGTAAAAATTTTGAAAATGGATAATCTAGTTAATCGGTCAATGTTACCAAATGCAAAAAAGTTTAGGATTTATAATATTTTTTCTTTTCATATTCATATATCTTCATGTGCGTGGTATGTATGCAAGTGTGATCATGGATTTTTATGTGTAACTCCTTTACCCTCTCTCTCGCCTGCCCTTGTTTAAAGCAGGACCCTCCCCCCCCCCCCCTCTAACAAAGCTGAGCCTAAGGCCCCCATCGGCCACTTTTTTATTAAAAAAATTGTAAAATACGTGAAAATACAGCTTAAGTGAATACAATGATTTTTTTTTTTTTGTTTTTTGCCCACAAGCGCGGGTCTCCCGATTCTGCCTCGGTGAGTTTGAGTCGCACTTGCTATTGATTAAGCACTGATTATGTGCTTGTACAAACATGAAGATGCTCACATGTGTGAATATGTTAGGTTATAGCTATGGGCTGGGCCGAACTTGGCCCTGCATCGCCCCTACTCAGGGTTGCCCTAGGCCCTGCCTAGCCTTGACTGGTCAAAGAGGCCATAGCACATACTTGGCCCTAGCCCTCTAAGAGTTGGGCAGGGCCAGGCCGGGTTAGAAAAATAAAATAAATGGTAAAAAGAAAAATAAAATAAATGGTAAAAAGAAAAATAAAAAAATAAGGGCCAGACAGGGCACAGCTCTTGGGCCCTGGTGGCCAGGCCTCGGGCCAGATTTTGTGGCCCAAGCACTAGGTTTTTAGGGCCTGCTACCCCCACCCCATTGCTACCCTTAAATGTGTATTGCATTGGAGACCAGAGGCATGTACTTTGGTACTAGAAGGGCAGTCTAATTAGCTGGGACTCGACGACTCGAGAATAAATGAAGGAAAATTGTTTCATTCAGGCTGGACCGTATGACTATATATGCGGTCCAAAAAGTGTAAAGCATCCTTAAAGATAGATGCAAGTAGATGTTCAATCTAAAACCAATGAAAACTAACAGTCCAAATGTTTTCTTACTAGAATCATTATTTCTAATTTTTAAAATTTATTTATTTTTTCATATTCATGATCTCCATGTTAGAGATTACATATCTTTAAAAATTAAATCCATCCTTAAAAATTAAATCCAAATATCCATTTTAAAAATACGCTTATTAAGAGGCCCGCATTTCTATGTATGAGGGCTTGGCCGCATAGAAACCGAGTCCATAAATGAATGCATCTTTCATCTCTTAAATTCTGATTATTGCTCGCTCTCTCTCTCTCTAGATTAAAGAATGGGCACCACTCCCTCTCATGCTGTGCATATACGGGCCAGACCAAGCAGAGCCTCACATAAGAGTGGCCAGCTCTCGGTTTCAGTGTTTCAAAATTTCGTGTTTGACTAGAACTGCCTGTGTTGAACCCAAACCAGCCTTTCTGATTTTATCTCCAACTCGAGACTCAACCAAATAGGTATTTTAAAATGATTTTAAGATTCCTAAGATTTACAAGGATTGTATTCTACATGACCATTCATTTTTGGTACAAAGAGGTTACAATTGTTCTCAACCATTAAATGTCAAATTGGAGTTATGTCATGAAGTTCATTTTTTTTTTTTTCAAACTTTGAGACTAGCCAATGATATGCTTACAACCACCCAATTTGAAATATGACGGACAAGATTGATTGTGACCTCCTTATACCAAAAGTAAATGTCTCTTTATATAGTTTTTCATATTTATAACTTGGTTGAGTTGGTAGAACCTAGTTAAAGACTCAGTTGATGCGACTCAAAAACTGGTGAGTGACTAGTTCGATCCATCAATCTATTTTTTATAACATTGTCTAAGATTAGCAAAGAGCCACCATTACCACTTACTAACAAGAGTTACTGGCCAAATCGATCTGGATTAGTGAACTACTCGACTCAAATCTATTTCCCAAGAGAAAATTTGCATGGAAAATGAAAAACATAAAGAAAACAAAACTGATGAGAAGTATGCGAGTCTAAGGATTTTTTTGATAAGTGTAGGATCTAAACCATATTAAATGCATTAAGAATGAATATCAAAAGGTCTTGGTGAAAGATGACGAGGTCAACGAAGTGGAGAGTTTATTTTAAAAAGTTATTAAATGACAAATACAGTATGAACATAACGATAGAAGGAATTGTTGGATTAAATGAGGGCAGAGGTCGTAGATACATTCGTAGGATTAGTATATCAAAAGTGAAAGAAACTTTGCAAATGATGGATATAAGAAAGACTTTAGGACTAGATCGTATCTCGATAGAGGTTTGGAAGTGCATCAGAGAGATTGGCATTGGATGACTGACAAAGTTGTTCAACAAGGTGTTGAGAACAAAAAAAATGCCAAATAAATAGAGAAAAAGTATTGTGCGAATTATCGAGGGATCAAGTTATGAGTCATACTATGAAGCTCTAGGAAAGAGTGATTGAGCAATGACTAAAGTATAAAACAAGTGTATCTGAAAACCAATTTGATTTTATGCCAAGAAGGTCAACAACTGAGGTTATTTTCCTACTTAGGCAACTGATTAAGAAGTTTAGGGTGAAGAGAAAATGCTTCCATATAGTCTTTATTGATCTAGAGAAAGCTTATGGTAGTATAGTAAAATACCTTGAGATTTGATTCGATGTTGGAAAATAAAAGAGACTACAGACACTACTTCGACTTAGTGAGAGATATGTACAATTGAGTGTTATCTAGTGTGCGAATAATTAGTGAAGAGATGAGTGAGTTTTCAGTGACAATAGGTCTATATCAAGGGTTAGCATTGAGCCTGTACCTCTTTGTCTTAGTTATGGACGACTTAACTAGGCACTTGCAGGATGAAGTACCGTGGTGCCTGTTGTTCATAGATGATATAGTTTTGATCGATGAGACCCGAAACGGCGTCAATAAAGTTAGAACTTTGAAAGAATGTTCTAGAATCCAAAAGTTTTAAAAATAGTCGGACTAAGACACATTATATATAATGCAAGTTCAGTAATAATAGGAGTAGAGATGAGGAAGTAATTAAAATTGATGGTCAGGAAGTACAATAAAGACCGCACTTTCGATACCTTGAGTCGATAATCCAGGAAAATGGAGAGATTGGGGAAGATGTTGCACATAGAATTATAACTGGGTGGGCGAAGTGAGATGTGCAATTAGAATTTTATGTGATTACAGGATAGAATCAGAAATGAATCCATTCAAGAAAGTTTAAGTATGGCACCAATAGGCGATAAGATGAGAAAGAATAGATTTAAGTGGGCTGGCCATGTGTGCGTCGACCTGGTACAACACTTGTTAGGAGGTGTGAGTTAGTTCAAGTGGAATGATTGAAAAGGGCAAGGGGTAAGCCCAAAAGGAGGTAGTTGGAAGTAGTCTGAAAAGACATGAGGACTTATAGTCTCACTGAGGGTATGGCCTTAAATAAAGCAGAATGGCGGACTATGAATCGTGTAGCCGACCCCAATTAATTAGAAAAAACTATGACGATGATTAAAGTATTTTGTGCAGGTAGAAATGCTTGCAGCCTAACCATATAATCATCACCCTCAAAGCCTTTTTCTAATTATTTGAAGTCGGCTACACGAATTATTGTCCACCATTTTGATCTGTCAAGGGCCATACCCACAGTGCTGCCATAAGTCCCTATATATTTTTTCACTATTTTCAGTCATGTCTTTTTGGGCCTACCCCTTACTCTTTTTTAGCTTTCCGCTTGAAGTAACTCGCACATCCTAACAGCTGTTGTACTAGGTTTGTGTTACAAATAGCAAACCTACCTAAGTGTATTTTCTCTCATCTTATCGCCTATTGGTGCCACATCTAACTTCTGTCGAATGTATTCATTTTGAATTCCATCATTTCTTGTCTTGCCACTTGTTTATCTCAACATCATCATCTCAGCTACATTTATCCTACTAAAGTGTTGCTTATTGACTACCTAATATTTCATCCCATAAAACAAAATTAGTCTCAAAGCTATCCTATAGAACTTGCCTTTCAGTTTCATTGGTATGAGGTCATCAAATAAAACTCTGATTGCACATCTCCACTTCGTCCATCCAGCTCTAATTTATGTACTACTTCTTCTTCATTCTTTCTTATTCTTTTTTGGATTATCGATCCAAGATATTGAAAGGGTATTCTTTTTTGTATTTTTTGGTTGTCAATCTTAACTACTTCTTCGTCTTTACTCCTATTATTATTAAATCTGTTTATATGCTTTGTCTTAGTCTAGCTAATTTTAAAACCTTTAAATTCTAAAGCATCCCTCCAAAGTTCTAATTTTATATTGATGTTGTTTCAAGTCTCATCAATAAAAATTATGCTGTCTACGAATAACACACACCTCGGTACGTCATGCATCTTAACCATATGGGACAGTACAAATTGAGCTTTTATAATCTCCGCTGTCTAACTAAAATGAATGGTGTGAGACGCATGCATCGTCCTTTCCCGCCCTGGCTGGTACCCTACGTATTCTTGATACAACCGAGCGTTGCCCTTTTGAGGAACTTGGGAAGAAAACACAATCTAGTAGACTAACATATGATGGATATTCATTCTTTTGTTTGCTGATTTGCTTGATAGGGACACTGACGTCATTCACTCAAAAGAACGGGGCTCTTTTAACTCCACCGGGCTTCCTCTCCAGAGAATTTCGCCCCTCGCTCTCTTTTGTTTGTGCATTCTCTCTCTAGGTCTCTGATCGGTCTCTGCGAACGATAATTTTCTTTATCACTGAATCATAACTCGGGGGCTTGAAGCCCTAATTTGCTTGCTCGAATCAAGCAACCTCCAAATGTTTTCATGCTTCTAATCTAGGGTTTTGAAACCCGGATATCATTTGATCGAACTTTTAGCGGGTGACGGGAGGAATTATTGGCTTCTGTTAAGGGATTATCGATGTCGTCTTCAAGCTCTTGGTCTCAAGCTCTGGTGAAGGTTTCACCATACACATTTGCGGCCATCGGGATTGCCATTTCCATTGGGGTCTCTGTACTTGGAGCTGCCTGGTATTGTTGCTTTTTATCCCCATTTATTTTTTTATTTTTTTTGGGTTTTTGATATAATGGCGATTTACACTGCGATTTGTTGGGTTTTATTGCGTTTATTAATGTGAATTCTGATGAATATGTTTTTGGATCTATCAGGGGAATATATATTACAGGTAGTAGTTTGATTGGTGCTGCAATCAAGGCTCCTCGAATCACCTCGAAGAATCTTATCAGGTTTTCCTCTTTCATTTTATCCGTTTTCGGTCTTTTCTTGCTACAGGTTCTGATAATTTTGACCTTATATGTTTGGCTGATGATAAATTTGGCTCTTACCAGGCTCTTTTGCATTTGCGAATGTATTGTTAAATAATTGTGAAGGACTAGGCATTTTTGTCTTTTTTGGACTATTGGATTTGATAATTTTGACTGTAATATAAATATGTCTAGCTGTTGCAGAGCTCTTTGCATTTTTATGGCTAAGGTGTTTTTAAGCAACTGTGAACAAAATGAAAGATGAGTTACCTTCTATTTAATGCACTACAAAAATATGTTTTCGTTGAGTGTTTCTTTACAATCGTTTGATTTGTCTATGAAATTGGTTCTACTCATCCATTCTCAGTTATTCACTTTACTGGCTATTATTAGGAATTATTCAATAATTTTATTTTGATTTTCCAAATTGGAGATTGGAGACATGTCTTCTTTTCCACAATCAGAGGCTCAATGTTCACCACCTTTTCTGGTTAGGGTCGTATTAGTTAACTCTAGAGAGATACTTAGTAATGTACAGGTAGTGGCTTTTATTTAGGGGTGTTCCTTTCCAAAGCAGTTAAAAGTTGGTAAGATGTGGCATTTACTCTGTTTGTTTGTATGGTGGTGTTTATTCTATCACTGGGCTCTGAGTGTATGGTGGTGTTTAATAGTGGATAATGATCTTTATTGTATGCTTGTGAACTCTTTGATGGTGTGTTTTTTGATATTTGGGGCTTTCTATTTCCATTACTAATGCATATGGGCATTCTAGGAATGTAATGATTTGGATAGTTGAGGCTAGATGGCCTCTCAAATTGTAAGTTTGGTGTCGAATTTTTTTTTCTTTTATCTTGTGAATGGAAATTTGTGGGCTGAAATAAACAGGTTCTCGGGTTGCAACCTTGAGGAAATTTGTGAGGAATGAGGGATGGATGATACAATCTTTAAAGTTTGTTTAGACAGTGATGGATGCTTTGAAGGAACATCGCAAAGCTGTGGTTTCTATTTGAATGCTAATTGTCAAATACTTTAGTAACTTAGGTTGCCTCTTAATTCTTACAAACATCTCTAAGTTATTTAGTAGCATACTGCTTTTCTTTATGTTTCCCTTCCATATTTCATTAGGTCAAGATTCACTTTTAGTAGCAAACTGCTCTACTTTATGCTTGCGTTCCATTTTTCAGTAGGTGAAGTTGAGAAATCAGAAACTACTATGTGTAAGTTTCTTTGACAATGCAGTTCATTCGGTAAAATGGGAGGATGTTTATAAGCCGTAGGCACTTTATCTAATTTGGCTTTTTGACGGATGAGGCAGATTAATTAGGCTCTACTTTGAAAGTCACATTAGAGGTTTGGGGTGGAGAAAGATCCTGTGTGAATCACTGAGCGTAAATAATGTCGCAGGAGTGGATTTGGGAGTCAAAAGAGTTGGGTGGAATTTTTTGGCATTTGGGGCATGAACCTTAGATGCGGGAACCTTGTACTCAGAGTTTCATATCTGCTTCACAACGTTGATGACCCTTCTGCTTTCGTACAATGGTCTTATTTATTTATTTATGATGCATAGGTCAGTAGTGGGATCTGAACCTTCTGGCATAATGCTGCAATAGACAACACTATAACCAATTGAGTCCATGCCCAGTTCCCTTATAAATGTCAGCTTTGAGATTCCATGACCTGAGTTGTGTCGTACTCTAACCCATCTAAATACTAATTTTCCCCTGCTCATGCTTCCATACCCTCTTCCACATTGTGCATCTATAATATGGAGAGGTATTTCAATGCATGATGCACATTCTCTTGGAATCATGTTTAGGGTGCAGGAGGAAGTTGGCTGTGCTTCTAGATTAACACCTGGTGCAAGAAATTCGTTGCTATTATTATATTTGTCCATTCTGTTGCAACAAATTTTCTTTTGCCAGATTGGTTTCCTGGCATTGTTCACCTTTCACATGACTTGAGCGTGTCAGTGAGTGGCTGACTGCTTCAAGACAGGCACAGAGTAGCTCAGGTCTTGTTTGCATGAACCATTTATTAAGAAATAAGTCTCTCAACTCCCTGACCCATTTAGGAGTTGAGAAGGAAACCACTTTATCTGCTCTGCTATTTAAGGGTATGGGAAATGGCACAAGATGTTCCTCCACCCAGATGGGAAGAAAAAAACAGAAAATACTGCTTCTCACTTATGTTCGAACAACTCTGGTTTTTAATGATATTGTTGAACTATTTAAAGTGAGCCCGAGTGCCAAAGTGCTGTCGATGTTTTAGAGATGTGGAGTTGAGGACTTGGGTGGTTCACTTCACTATGGTGGTTTTGTTTACATGTTTTGGTAGGTTTGATTCTTCATTCAGAAATGGGACATGAGCCTGGTATTTTTGCTTAGGTTATTTTTTAAAAACCAAGGACTTGGCCTGGTCCCATGGCTGAGTCAACTCGGAAATACTTTATCAAGTATTTACAAACTTTGTAGAGTCACTCAGAAAACCAAATGGAAAATGCAAGACATAATCAGAGACTCAGAGTTGAGAGTGACAAATTCAACTTCGATGACTGGTCTGATTGAAATCCCTGCCTTTCCAAGATTAGGGACCGCTCTGTTCTTATGTTGAAGATGATTGCAGGGCCTGCTAGGATTGGAAATTCTACTTTTCAGAAAGCCTTAGCGCTCCTCATTGTTTTGAGGGTTGTCTCACTTTCCCTGGGTCCATATGGTGGATAATGACTAACGAAACATTTTCTGGTAGGCACCTCAAGATTCATCATACCCTTTGAGGATTGTGGATCTCTTGGAAAACATTTTTTAACATTAGTAGTAGGGCAATGATGACATTCCAATGGTCCATCGTATTCCTAATGCCTCTATTGAAGATCCTCATTCCATTCTTTTGTATCTTTGGTTTTTTTTCTTTACCTGGACACATTTCTCTGCTTGCTCTTTTGGTGTCTTGATCAATGTTCAAAAAGTCGGATGCACCTGCCTAGGGTGGTTAGGCGGCCAGGTGCCTACAGGAGCAAGGAGAGGCTAGGCACCCAAGGAGTTCTTAGGGCCGGGGTTTTGGCCCCCTAGGGTATTCTTAGGGCAGTTTTAGGGCCCCGAAACCCCTGAAAATAGAGAAATAAATATTTATAAACATGTGCAAATATAAAAAAACAAAAACAAAAAATAAAAGAGTATACAATCATAACACATTATACGAAAAAAAAAAACCCTAATTTAAATATTGAAATGCACTTGGCTTTTCAAAATAATTCAATATAAGCCTAAACCGGTAAATGTCCACAAAATATTTCAAATTTCGAACTACGGACATGCAAAAATATTACAAAAGAAAAAAAAAAAAGAATATCAGATCATAACACATTATACAATAAAAGAAAAAACCAAACCCAAATTCAAAATGAAATCGATATTGGCCTTACCCGCTAATCTTTGGTCGCCAAAAGACCTCTTATATGACCACTCCAAGCTCCAAAACGCACCAGAAATTATATCTTTTGATTCCACAAGAAATCTCAAAAATGTTGAATTTTTTCAATATTGAGAAAAATCACAAAATCCAAGTATTTGGATAGTTTTTCTCTCTCTAACATAAAAAAAGGGGTTTGGGGGGCTAGAATGCTCCCCAAAACCCCTTTCCCCCCTTTCTTTGGGGACAATCCCCAAAATACCCTTGCTTGAGGGCCTATTTTTCGCCCTTGGTCTGACTGCATCAAGGTACAAGACATCGAAGAAGCCTGCCTAGGCGTTTTGGCTTTTTGGCCGCCTAGGTGGCCGGGTGGCCGAATTTTTTATTACACAATAAGTTAAGTATATTTTAGGTAGGAAGAAAGAAAACAATAGTATACAATGAGTGGATTGGTTTTTCAAAAAAATTATCTCCATGGCCTTTTTGTGGATCGCAGCATGAAACCATAACTTGCTTGGACAAAAGGAAAAATAGTCTTGAGTTAAGAGATGGCTCTTTAGTCTCAAAATAAAAGAAGAAATCCACAGGCATACCTACGGTGTGGATTCCTTGAAGTGTCATGAGTTGGGAGGCTTCCAGATTCAGATCAGTAGATCTAGATATGAGAAACCGGAAATAGCAACTTCAGCATTGTGCTGTTATCTACTGCATGCTTGCAGGCTTGTCTCTTCTATGCCTTGCAAGTTGCAACTCATAACCCTAAAATATCAAATTAATTCTCTAGTTATTATAATGTTGGCATACCTACAGTAACATGCTGTGTCTCATGCGGCATTCGTATAGCATTAGATCTTTAAATTCTGATGTGATAGCTGTATATTTTTAGATATTTAATGAAGGTTAGCTTCTACATTGATGAAATGAGCCCTTTGTGTTCTTACAAATTGCCCACATATTTCCTTCTCTGCATATGTAGCCTGGAACACATTCACGATTTCAAGTGATAAGAGCTAATCCATTGAAAACATTGGCTACTTATTATTGTGAACCAGTTGCATATGAGATTTTGGTATGCATTTTTTTCTTGGCTAGGTTGAATGAAAGTGCTTGGTTTCTTTTCCCTTCCGTCTTAAGATTTCCTTCATTGAGTGTGCACTTCCCTTATTGATGCAAGCTTCATTTTTTAGTGTGATCTTCTGTGAAGCTGTTGCCATATATGGAGTTATTGTGGCTATCATTTTGCAAACAAAGCTAGAGAGTGTGCCTGCATCAATGATTTATGCAGCTGAGTCACTAAGAGCTGGATATGCCATCTTTGCTTCTGGAATCATTGTGGGTTTTGCGAATCTTGTCTGTGGGTATGTTTTCAAGGTTCCTTGTGTCTTTGTGGAAATGTGATTTGCATGCAATTAAGCCTCTTGAGGTTTAGTATTTGTTAAAATTTGCAAATGAAATGCTCTTGTTTTATGTTATGTTCTTTTTTTATGATGATAATGTTGAAAATACAAATCTTAAAGTTAGTGTCGGAACTCAAAATATTTAAGGGTTGACATTCAATAATATAAAGATGTAAAATGCATGAAATTTAAAGTATAGGCATTAGTTGAATACTGATTGTATTACTGAAATCCCTTTATGCTTCATAGTATATTTTCATAACACACTACCCCTAACAAATGTTGGAAGTACTCCCTAAAAATTATTAGAAAAAAATTGTTATGGCATTTAATGTCCAAAACATTTTGTAACATGTCAAATGTAGAATTTTCCTTAAATCTTCTTGCCATTTTTGGATGGCCATTTTTTTGCACACAATACCAGACCCGTGGATGATCATTTTTTGGCACCTGTTTTTGTATTCACTCCTAATACAACAGTTAACATTCACTCATAAAGAAAAAAAATATTACTAATTTTTTTATGGTGGATTTTCCGATATTTTTGTGTTTATTAACTGGACTTGGTGGAATTTGTTGTGGACAGGGTATGTGTCGGAATAATTGGCAGCAGTTGTGCACTATCTGATGCTCAAAATTCCTCTCTATTTGTGAAGATTTTGGTGATTGAAATCTTTGGAAGTGCTCTTGGCTTATTTGGTGTGATTGTGGGTATAATCATGTCTGCTCAAGCTTCATGGCCAGCAAAGGCATAGAGACCATCAAATTTCAACATCGTTTTTTGATGATTATATTCATTGTACAAGAAGACTTATTTTGCATCTTGAACTCACTCTTGCACTGGTTCTGTTATCCCGTCACCGTGTATTGGATTTATGCATAAGCTTTTGCATGTAATTTGAAGCGTTGTAGTCTTTCATAATAACATCTGAATGTTATTGTACCAGGGAACAAACTTATTCTGCTGTTCTATATTTCCTTGTGTGTTCTTTTGGCAGATTGCCCTTTTCTCTCACTCTCTGCAATGGACAATATTCCTCATTTTGGGCACATTTGGTGTGTGAAAATATATTCACATAGAAAATTTTAAAATATATTTATATTAAATTTTTTTTTGGTGTGAGAGTTTTTTCACATTAATAAACTCTCAGTTTGTATGAAAAAATGGTTAGGACTAATTGGTGTGAAATGAACTCCCACCACACTAATAAGCTATCAGTTTGTAAAAAAAATGGCTGGGACTAATTGGTGTGAAATGAACTCCCACGTCCAATTGCATGGGAGTTTTTTCAAGTGAAAGTAATTTGATGAAAATATTTTCGCACGTATCAAACGTGCCATGACGTTTTTTTTTTGGGAGTTGGTTCTCGTTTAGGGGGCATATTCGTCATTTACGATTCTCTTCGGAATTGAGTTGCTTTCTCTCTATCGTGGGGAGGTTTAGAATCTCTCTTGCTCTACCCGTAGTTGAGAGACTAGATTTCATGACTTCTAGATTACATCACTAATTATATCACTAAAGATGTGATGTGGAAACTAGGAAAATCTTTAACAATAAGAAAATAGTTTATATAATGTTGCAACCATAAAATATAGAATTATAGTGTGTATCATAAAAGGTTGTTTTGATGTTGGAAAACTGTCAAAATGATTTTCTCGACGTTGAGATGCATGAATATGAAAAGAAAAAAAATCTCGACTCCTAAAGATAATGTCAAGTTTTTATAGATATACTTGATTTGAACTATTTTTTAAATTTAAAAATTTATAATTAGCGATAAAAATAAATTCTCAAGTTATTTGAAGAATTTTTTACACCAAAAACATTTATGGTAAAATTTGGATGTGTGCCTTAATGTGATTGTTTAAGGTTGCAACATTATACAAACTACACTTCAAAAATAAAGGATAGTACACGATGAGACCATTTATCTTAGCTATGAAGTTACCATTCATTTTTTGTAAAAGAAAGTTACAAATTTTCTTAGTCATGAAATATAATATACCACTTTAAAAGAATTTGTTTTAGACTTTGTGCTCAATTAATAACACATCACCATCTATCTTATTTCACATCCAATAGTTAACAATGATTGTGACCTTCTTATATAAAAAATAAATAGCCTCATTATTTATATTTTTTTATTTTTATTTCAATGAGGTCACAATCACTTATTATCATTAAATGTTAAATTGGATCGCTTGGGCTAGTCACGAATCCAAGAAATTTTTTTTTAAACTTTGAGTTCAATGATGCTCTTACAACCAACGAATTTAAATCCAAGGGACAAAAGCGATTGTGACGTCCTTGTACAAAAAAGTAAATGGTTTCTTTGTATACTTTTTCTGTGTAGCTCATCTACATTTTCAGATTAAACTTGTATCGATCTTTAATACAAGTTACTCCTTGAGTTTTTTTTTCCCAAGTTACCCCTCCCATTCACTAGGGTTTTTTTTTCCAAGCTACTCTGTCGTTTTTTTTTTCTCCCAAGTTACTCTTGTCTGGTAAACCGAACACCAGACAAGGGTTTTTTTTCCTTACTCCAAACAATATTTTCTCTCAGGCCGCGTACTTTTTTACTCTCTCCACTGTTACCAAATCGCATCTCTCTCTCTCTCGTCCTTCTGAATCTAAAGAAACAAATAAATGGGGCTCGCAGGGTTATGTAAATCCAAAAATTTGTCCGGTATTTTGAACACTAGACAACTTTCATTTAAACGTAAAAACTCACCTGTCTGGTGTTCATTTTACCGGACAGGGGTAACTTGAGGAAAAAAAACTTAGAAAGGAAGGCATGCTGCCCGTAATTTGAGACAAACATGATCCTATTTTGTAATTGACTCTCCCCAACAATATGGTCTGTACGTAAGTTCCTCTTAAGACATGAAAAAGAATTGTGGCACAATCATCACCAACTCAGCAAGATAGAGTGCCTGCTAATCTTCCATAAATTAGAGACTGAAAGTTTGGCTCATAATTTAATCAAGTCTTCTCTTTCATTTCTTTGTTCAGCTTTCTTCTCTAAGCTCCCAACCATTGCATCCAATAAGGAATATATATATCTCATCTGAGGGTGAGAAGTATCTCCAACAATGAACTCGTGAACAACTCCATTAACTTCAATAGAGCTGCAACCAGGTACTTTCTTAATCCCAAGATCTTTCATTTCTCTCCTCACCTTGTTCACATCATCCCATCGATTTACAGCTGCATATATGTTGGCGACTAGTGTATGTAATCCCGAATTATGACATTCAATCTCAGGCATTAGTTTTTCTATCCACTCCCCCATCTCTACATTTCCATGAATTCTACATGCACTAAGAAGGGCACCCCATAAGGGAGTATCACTAGCAATTGGCATTTTCTCTATCAATGCTTGAGCCTCAACCAGAAGGTCAGCCCTTCCAAGAAGATCGACCATGCACCCATAGTGCTCCACCTTAGGCTCAATTCCATACTCTCTTTCCATTAAAGCGAAAAGCTTCTTTCCTTCCTCCACCAAACCTCCACGACTACAAGCACTGAGAATACCAATGAAAGTTATATCATCAGGCCTTGTGCCTCTGTCTCTCATCTCTGAAAACAAATCTAAGGCCCTCGATGTTTGTCCATGCATTGCTAGCGCGCAAATCATAGCTGTCCATGCTGCTGTGTCTTTGTTTTGTATGCTTAGAAAAGCTTCAAACGATTCTTCGATGGAACCACATTTGGCATACATATCAACAAGGGCCGTTCCTACAAAAGCATCAATCCCAACTTGGTTTTCTTTAATGTAGTTATGGATCCATTTTCCTTGCTCTAGAGCCCCCAAGTGAGCACAAACTGTGAGAATAGTTACAATTGTGAATTTGTCGGGTTTTAGTTTCGATATTTGCATTGCTTGAAAGAGCTCCAATGCTTCATTGAATCGACTAAACCGAGCATAACCGTTGATCATTGCAGTCCACAGAACTGTGTCTCTCTCTTGGATTCTATCGAAAAGCATGCGAGCATTGTCCAAATCACCGCAATTCACATACCCATGAATCATGGCCGTCCATGAGATGACAGTTTTCTCTCTCATACCATCAAACAAGACCCGTGCAGCAGTTATACATCCACACTTGGAGTACATATCTATCAAAGCATTAGAGAGAGAAATACTGTGCCTAAGCTTCTCATCATGTTCCATATAAGAGTGGATATTCTTACCCAAATCCAAGTTTCTTAAGTAAACACAGGCCGAAATAACAGTGACCAGAGTGGCCTCATCCGGCTCTATATGGTCCTGTTCCATTAGTCTGAAAAGATTTGCTGCTTCACTGAAGCTTCCGGTTTTGACATAGCACGAGAGCATCACATTCCAAGAAATCACATCTCTCTTTGGAGTTTCATCAAATAGAATGCGGGCTTTATCAATGCATTTCAGGGAAGAATACATTTCCACTAGAGAGTTTCTCACATAGCATTCGAATTCGAACCCCCTTTTTATAATACTAACATGAGCTTTTTCTCCCTCCACAAATGCTTGCAAATACCCCATCGCCTTGAGCACAAATGGGTAAGTGAAATTATCAGGGAAAATGCCTTCCTCTCTCATCTGATGATAGAGAAACATGATTTTTTTGAAATTTCCATGCTTTGCAAATGATCTGACCATGATGTTATATATAAACAAATGTGGGTTTTTGATTTGGCAGAAAATCTTCTCGGCATAAGGGAGATCCCTGGAATTTGAGGCCATGAGTTTGTTCACTATATCCTTGTTTTGATCCAGTCCTATTCTGTAGAGTTGGCAATGGATTTGTTTCAGTTCTTTCATGGATTTGCAATTCTCCAGCAAAGCAACACAAGCTTGTTTTGTTAATCGAGTAATGGCTTTTGAAGGTACCAGGGAACTTTGAAATGGTTTCATTGGTTTCACCAATTGTTATAGGTGGACTCTCTCTCTCTCTCTCTCTCATAGGAACCTAGAGCATGACTCTTCTACGGAGTCAGCGAAGTGGGTTTATCTCTCTCTCTCAGGAACCTAGAGCATGACTCTTCTACGGAGTCAGTGAAGTGGGCACTGTTATCTCTCTCTCTCTCTCAAGACGTTGTACCAATCCTAAACTTTCAAAAAATAAATAAATAAATAATTTTTTATAGTGTGATGGTTCACATAAATATTATGATCCTTAAAAAATATCACCACTTTTATTAATTTTTTCTTTTCCTTTACCCGTCCTTAGTTGACGTGGGC